GAGTTTCATGTGTAAGTAGACTTAAAATAAATAAAATAAAATAAACAAAATAGTTAATAATAATAATAACCTGTGAAGTTTGAATGAAATTCTTTAACTGTATACAGAGTAGTCCATAAACGTTGAGTATTTGGATAGTTTGTGTTGCTAAGTAATTTATATATATTAAAAGAAATCCATTATTTTTATATGAACTTCAGGACTTTATTTAACATGCTTCGGATTGTCCGATTTGGGTCAAATATGCACCGTTTTGTTGTATGATTTGTTGCCATTTTAAAGGTAACTTCAAAAAGCCTCTCTATTTGCAAAAAACTCTAGTAGTCGATTTTCACAATCCTCCCTAGATTCCAATTTTTTATCATTAAAGAAATTTTGCAATGCAAGAAAAAGACGATAATCGCTTGGTGCCAAGTCCGGAGTTTTAATGCATCCGCGAAGATGCATTAAAACTTCCCAACCAAGCTCCCGAAGTTTCTGGCGAGTCACTGTAGATGTGTGTGGCCTAGCGTTGTCCTGGTGGAACACGACACCTGTCCTGTTGACCAATTCTGGCCGTTTCTGGTCAATCGCTATATTCAAACGGTCCAGTTGTTGACAGTAGAGATCAGAATTTAGCGTTTGGCCATATGGAAGCAACTCATAATAAATAATCCCCTTCCAGTCCCACCAAATGCATAGCAAAACCTTCCTGGCCGTTTGAGGTGCTTCACCGCTCTTTGACCACGATCGTTTTCGCACAGGGTTATCGTATGTGATCCATTTCTCATCTCCAGTCACCATCCGTTTAAGAAATGGGTCTATCTCATTCCGTTTGGCCAAGGCTTCGCAGATGGAAATTCGATTCATCATGTTTTTTTCTGTTAATTGGTGTGGCACCCAAACATCGAGCTTCTTTTTGAATCCAGCTTTGTGTAAATGGTTTAAAACTGTTTTATGGTCGATTTTTAGCTCCTGGGCGATGTTACGACTGCTAACATGCCGGTCAACTTCGATCATTTCTCCGATTTTATCGACATTTTCGACGACCGGCCTACCTGTGCGAGGTGCATCTTTAACATCAAAAATTCCTGAACGGAATCTACGAAACCAAAATTGCACATAATTGGCTGTTACAGTATCGGAACCATAAACACCATTCATAACTTTAGCCGCCTGGCTTGCATCTTCGCCTTTGTCAAAGAAAAACTGTAAAATGTACCGAATTTTCTCCTTGTTCACTTCCATTTTTAACACGCTGTAACTCACAACTGAATGCACCAAACAAAAAACAGCAAAAGAATTTTTTTTACTGCGAAATGTCACCTTTCCAACGAGCATAAATATGAAATTGTTTGATCGATACCTTACGAGAAATCTATCAGTGCAGCCACCTGCCGAAAAAATAATGGATTTCTTCTTCCCCAAACTAATATATATAAGTCGAATCTCCGCATAAGTTTTCCGCAAATGTGTAACTTTTTTGCTTTTTGCTTTGTGGTAGAGAATCTTTATTATTTCATTAAAACAAATTCAAAAATTTGCCCGATAGAAGAGGTACTTGGATCTCTATAGAAAAAGATATTGAATGTGATTATTAGCTGTAAATAGTCTAAGTGACATGAAAAATTTGACGTGGTTGAAAAATTTGGATCCATAATATCAAAAGGTTTAAGATAATATAAAGACCGATTATGACGAAGACTTTCTTGACATTCAGTTGTATTTTGATTCCTTTCAGAAATTTCTTTCCTTATGAGGTAATCGAATATGTAGTAGAATATTAAAAAAGCTTCTTCCTCGCTTAAATGCAACTGGTTGCTTTGTAATTCAATTTTTAGGTTCAAGCAAGGAAGATAATCTAGGAACCGTAATTTTTTTCAATATTTTTGAGACGTAGGATATCAGAGAGATTGGACGGTAGTCTGGAGCAACAAAAGAAATTTTATATTTTGGAATGGTCACAAAAATCAGTTTCCATGGTCGACGGCCATGACTAGTAAAAACGATTGTATTACATACATGGAGTAAATAACTTTTGTTGGATTTGCCATTATTTCGTACGAAATACTACCCAAACTTGGTGTTTTTCCTTTTAAGTCGGTAAAACAGCTCTCAAGTTCTAATACCGATATAGGCGTTTTTCAGGAATATAACGCATCTGTTAATAGGATGAAGACTTGAGAAAGTAGATGGACTTCCTTTATTTTGAATGAGGCTTCAGGAGAAATTGCAGTCGCAAGAACACCTGAACCACACTTCTTCTAAATAGCTATTTATTCCGTCTACTTCAACTAATGTTCTCCGAAGTGTAAATTTCAGTAATACCATTAAAACTAGTTTATTGATTCTGCGCCGTATCACCGTCATTGAAGTGTTCCCTTGTACATTTTGTTTTCCCTTAGCAAGGTTAGCCTTTGGTTCCACCAATGAAGGGATGTATGCTTAAAATGGTTCTTAGATTTTGGTATGAAGAGATGTGTAGCAATCCGAATAACTGTAATCATAACAGAAGCAACACGATTGCAGTTGTATGTAAGAGTATTACTATTTAGATTGCTATTAATTCAGTCAGCCAGTCCAGTAGAAATCTAAATGAAAATCTAATATGAATTTTTTTTTTTTTTGCTATTTACAGTGACCCCTAAACATCCTTTTTCGGTTTTTTTCTATATTATGTCTGCATTATTACACCATTTTATTAAAGAGAATATAACTTCTACTTAAAGCTTAAAAGTGAATAATTATATAAAATCAATTTACCCACATTCAAGAGTTGGAACTGAAATTACTTGAGAAATGGGTGATTAACTTCGGGTCATGCAGCTCTGATAATATCCCAATTGTGTCAATTTATAACAACAAATTAAGTATGACAAAGCCGATTGCAAAAATATTCCAAGGGTATTGTGTGGATTTGCAATAACGGATAAGATGGCGGTTTATCACTATTACCTTTAACTACGGAAATAAATTTCAGACCAGGCTTTCAGTTCTGAAATACCTCGGTGGTATAATAATTTGAAGTTATATAGGGCTCATCGCTTGTGAAATGTATATTACATGTTTCGTTGTGCATCCATCTTTAGATTCGTGTAAGTAACGAAATATTCTTCGCAAAATCATGACGAAATTGATTTCTGAGTATTTTCCTGTTCGTTTTCTACGAAATTGAAATTCACAAAGCATTTAAGTCATTGAGTTTCCAAGTACAACCGTGAAAATTCTTATTTGATCCCTTCAAGGTTTAACAAAAGAAATTTAAGAAAATTATATTCATCTTAGCACAAAACTTTGATATTCGATTGTTAAAATTAATGCACTAATATCACAAAATGTGTTAATAAATATTAGCCATTGGCCAATGATCGACAGAGGGTTTAATGGGGACTTAGCAACTCTTTGTTCCATGTTTCAGATCCACAGCTTTTAAAGATTATAAGTTGAAATTCATGTGTATTGTGAACGTGGGCGAAAGATGCCCTTCTTTTTACAGTTTTCTTCTTGGTATTTATACCGCTATGATTTTAATTTAGAGCTTTTTACTTCCTACGACCATCATTGCAGGTGGATTATGTGCAATTTTAACTAAGAACCTAACAAGGATGTTAAGTTATAGCTTTTCTTTTCAATGTTTGAGACTACTACATTTTGATAAAGAGATACACAGACGAACACGGTTAAATTGACTTCAAAATTTGCGAAGTTAATTTTTAGTCCTCTTCGGTCATTTACCACAAATGTGTCGCTGTAACTTAAGAGATTTCGAATTGATAATAGCCACACTGAAGAATTCAGAGCCACAAAGCGAATTACGACAGGCACTCAATATAAATTAATAAACGAATAGTAAAGAAAAAAAGGTTAACAATTCTCAATGCGAAATTTTTGTAATTAAGATATAAAATTTGGTAAAAGAAGTTCAAGAAATTATGAACGCCATCGACTCTCAAAATTTAAATACAAGCTTGATGTGTTATTTTTAACAGCCTCTTTTATTGTTATGAAGAGAAACAAAAAATGACGCCGATTTCATTGATTTCGGCATCCGTAAAATTTCTCGGACAATTCACACATTATACTGATAATAAGTTTCTTCTTTTCTGTTGCTAGAAAACATTGCCACCCTCAAGACAATGAGTTCAACTTAATTATGACACATGATTGCAAACGTGATAAACACCAAAATTGCAGATGTAATGGGGCATTACTGAAATATTATATTATTAGAGTTTATGAAGTCGGATAGAACTATAGGCTATCATAATATATTTAGCATATATTGCAAAAAAAACTATCTTCGACACAACTTAATGCTTAGGCAATCAAAAAAACTCAGCTTTAAAGCCTACACTAAATAACCTTATTCGTAAATAACCTGTTACGGTTATGCCTAAACGTTTTTCATTATAAGTTTAACTTATAAGAAACTATTGACTACTGATTAAGGGAATTGACCAAGGAAGTATAACATACGCTGAGTTCTTATCGTTCAATCGGTTCTTAACTGATTTTACAAAATTACTCAAGTCTGTCTTCTTAAAAAGTGTATTTTCTCTTACTCAAAGATAAGTTACCAAAATAACAAAACATGTACTAAAACCCTGTGAAACAAAATAAAAGTTGCGCAGTTATTTCGCTGAATATAAGGGGCGTAAACATTGTCATAGTGGCTTGCTGCTGAAACTGAAGAAAATTCCGCATCCGTTTCTAATGCAGCCTTTAGAGTCTTCACGTAAAATTTGCATGGATAAAATTTTAGAGATGAAAAGTTTCTTTAAAGGAGCTTTAGTAAACACTTTAATTAAATTTCCGATAGATATCTGCTATTGACAAAAGTAAATTGCTCTGTCACGTTTTTTGGAGATTGCTTATTGCATATATGTTTTTGCGAATCTCTGGAGCTGTTATGAAAATGCACATACTAAGATCAACTTAGCTATTGTTCAAATTGCAGTTATTATTGAAGTCCCTTCATGATTATGATGATTGATTGATGATAGAGCTTGTATGAATTAACTTTAAATTATATATACATATGAATTACCGCGTTTTTGCAATTCTTCACGTGTTATCTGACTACTCATTGCTGTAACTGTTGGTGCAGGTGGTAAAGTTAAATGAGCAGTTGTTGTGTTGCTTGGATACCAAGCCCAACCAGCGGATTGGCCGTTAAACATACGCAATTTTTCATATACTGACTCGCTTTGTTGCTGTGCTTGCTGTTCTTTTTGTGAAGCCAAATTCCGTAAAACGCGGTTTATTGATGAAACCTACAAGGAAAATATAACAAACGTCATTAGTATTATTGTTATTATTTTCATTATCGTTATCATCATTATAGTCATTACTATACATTACAAAAACAAGTCTGATTAACAAACATATATCAGATGTGTTTGTTTTACAATTCCGCTTTTCAAATATTTTCGAACGTTAGTTAGTATGAACAAGCGGAATTTATTAATTTGTCTTCTGTCGTATATGGTTCGATCGTGTTAGTTTAGAGTTGCGCAAAAATTGAATAATAAACAAAGATTGAAAAGCAAAAATTGAAAGTTTGACAACTGCTATTTCTTCATTAGTTGTGTCCAAATATCAAACAAAACTTAAAACACTGTTTTGGACTGGTGAGTATTTTCAATATACGACAGATAAGTGGTCAATATTTAAGTGACACCATGGCTCCGCGGCCACCGGAAAAAAGCCGTAACAAATATCAAATCTTGTCTGATCATGGTCCTGTTTTTAAAAAACAACCCAAGTAACCCCCGATATTTCATCATTGTCAGTAAAGAACGCTTCTGTAATTGACAAATTTTGTTGTTATACATCTAAAGACAATCTAAGGTGCACATTAAATCCAATTAAAAAAGTTTTAAACGTTACTATATCCAAAATTTAATCTCCTGCCATATTATGTGAGGGAAGTTTGTTGATTCTTGGCTAGAATCCTCATTCTACAGAGAAAATTTTATCGGCTGAATCTCTTCCGAGCTTATGCTCAATCTTATCAAAACTGCACGAACCGTTAGACTCAACATAAACAATCGACGTTGTAACTGTATTAGAAAAGAAGATATTAAATTCTCTGAGAGCAATAGCGGCATATCATCTGAAAATAAGGCTAAAGGTTGGGCTAGGGTTACCAATCTAGAAGAACTGGCTTGTTCAAAATAGTGATAGAATAATTAATCACCTTTGTCGGGCGCATCGCACATAGTTACAAATAAAAAGAATATACGTGTCATTATTACCTCATCGAAGAAAAAGACGAATAGACAAAGCTTGCCTAGCCACTCGGGTGGGCATGATGTTATTCCCAAGGCTGGTCTGCACCTGATCCTAGCTTTGATCTCCGTTCCGCTACAGTTCTATCTGAAGGAGCCGAACTTAAATTCTCAGACTGCTACTTTCCTCTCATAAGAACGTTTCTAACAAATTTTTAAATATTTAGAGATAGCTATTTATTAATAGTGAAAACAAACGTTCTATATAAATATCATTCACATGGATATATATATATTTAAAAAGTAGTTTTTGCATGTAAAAAAACACTAAAAAGAATAAAGTTTTTATAAGAACATATATGTGTGTATAAACAAGCAAAAACTTACGATAAATAATAGACGAATGGAATATTAGAAATATGAGGATCGCAGAGGTCTGCTTATTCGGGAGTCGTTGGTAATGATGTTGGTGCTTAAAATAAGGACGAAGCTTGCTTACAGTGTTTGTGTTTATAAGAGCATAATAAAAGTTTGCAATAGCTGTAACTGCTCTTTGTTTTGACGGACAGAGTGGTAAAGTTGAACTGATGTTTTTGTTAATTTAATTTAATTTAGTATGTAGCAAAAACATTATATATATAAAATAGCATATTTCGCTAGCAACACTTGCGCAGAAAAATTATTAAGGACTATTTGCAGGCATCCCATAAAAACAAACGATATTAAAGACAGAGTAAACGAACTGAAATGAGAACATTTACTGAAATTTGTACGACAATTGTGCGTAAGGCTACACTATGAACGTTTTGAATACACCTGTACGTGAGTGTATTCGCGCTAAGGCAAAAACACTTGTGTGCGGTTGTATGTTTGCTTAAGCGATGCTAACATCACATACATAAAATGGTTTCTTGGATTATCTTCCACATTGAAAAATGTGGAAGATAATTTTTTTCATTCAGGCTGTTGCAATAGATATACGGTAGACCGATCGTGAGAGCAAGACAAAAGCTTTCACGATTAAGTTGCTGGCAACCATTAAACAAATAGCAGACAGAACAATAGACGGAGAAAACAATACATGTGACCAATAACCTTATGTGTCAATTGTGTCAACATTGACGAAAACTACGGAAATTAAAAAGCAGAGAAACTGTTTAAGTGATTCTTTTTTTTTTAGTTTTTGATGAAAATTAATTGGGAAAATTATCAATATCAAGAATTATCTTTATATTGATTTCTGCCGTTTTGATTTAAAAACGATCTCATGTAAATGAACGTCACTGGGGACTTCTGCAAGTATTTAAGCGCAGAACACAAAGTTGTGCCACTTCTCCACACAAAACGGCTCTTATCTTCTCAATAACACGTATAACCTCATAGGAATAAGGTCTTTAAGAGTTCATGGTTTCTTGGACTAAGCCAATGGTCCATTATAACCCCAAAGTTGGAAGTTCAATTGATTTATATCGCATGATCTTTGCGACAAGGCCACATAGGTGTTTTTTTGATAAATTTCACATAGGCGAAATCAACTAAATTGATTAAGCATGAGCTTCGTGACATATGTACGAAAAGTGACCTTGAGCTTATAGTTTTCGTAATAGGTTTTAACAATTTCTGTAAGCTATGTAATTATCCATGCAATTAATTCCGCAAATAATGACATGGTCCGCACAATACATCAAAAAAATTTGATCCAAATTAGAATATGGTAATAGTGGGATAATGGCGTATGCGGTCGAGATCGAATAACGGGCTCGACATATTTTTCAATGGTATTTTTGATCTATGTCTAACGCAACTAAATAATGTTATGAATAGAAACTACAGAACTCGATGTTTTTCTAAATGTGATGAGGTAACTACACCTACTACGCTAACACCTGAGTGGCCGAAGGCAATGTATCTCGACTAGCAACTCAATGGTTGTGGGTTGGAATCTTAAGTGCGATAGTGTGTTTAATAAAAGCGGTAGTGTTTTTAATAATAATAATAATAAAATACTAAATTTTGCATCTGACAATCCTTACACATGTAAAGAAATGAAAACCATTGAATTAACATCACACATGTGTTTTTTTGCACTTGGTGTTTTTTTGCACGTGGTATAACCCTAGAAATCCTTCTCTAACTAGCATATGATGTGATACAAAATAATTTGCGCTCGACTCTTGCTCTGTTTACAAAAGAATAAATAATGTTAGAAAACAAAAAAAAACCAAAAAAACGTCTTTTTAAGAAATTCAAGATGCCGAAGAGGCTAATGGGTCTGTTATGGGTCAATATGTTCGCAGAATATCAAGGACTTTTTCAATCCGCATAGGTACCTTTGGAAAAATTTTAACGATATCGATAATTTAATTTAGATATCGGATTTTTTAAATTCTGGCAAATTAACTCTCATTTCACACATTCATCGACATGTGTTCTGAGTAGTGCGTGTTTTGTTTTTCGTCTGCGATTTTTTAATTGTTTTCGGTGTTTTTCGGTGTTTTTGTGTGTTTAACTCGTGTGTTCTCTGTGCTTTTGCAAAAACTGAATGTCGCAGATACGATATGTGCTTTATTTTTCTGCAAATATAATAAAAAAATCAATAAAACAAAAAACATTAAAGAAAAATAAAATATTGAAAACAATTGTCATTATCCTCAGCAATTCCCAGACCTTTTCACGTGAGTGGTTATTTACCAATTTATTAAATAAGAGACAACCATAAGGCATAATGGTCCCGGGGCCGCCTGATATAAGCTCAAATGGATTTCATCTATTAGCAAACGTATCCCCTCAAAGAAAAAAAATTAAAAATTCCGAATTTCCGGTGTTGCCAACCAGTAACATCGTTCCTATCGACAAAAAATATGTTGTGATTTCTCCAACTGATCCCTCCATAACAATTTAGCAATTCAGCTCTTACGCTATTAAAAAAGCACTAGATTGCATTACAACGCATATAGACTCCATATCGATTTTACGCGATGGAAATTTACTTGTCCTGGGTAGGAAACCGAGCACAACCGAAAAGCTAATAAAGTCTAAATCATTAGCCCATTTGTGCGCTATATCTGCTAAACTGCAAGACAAACTGAACTTGGTTAAAGGCGTAGTTTATGCCCCATGCCTAAAGCATGTGCCGGAAGATGAAATTGTGCGCGAAATGGGCAGTCAAGGAGTGACTGAAGTCTACAAATTCACCAAATTAAATGACGATAGAAAAACCCGTTTTCCTACAGGAAGAATTCTTTTGTCTTTTGACCGCTATCGGCTACCGGCAACGGTTATGTAGCTTGGCACAAATGTACAGTAGAACTCCACATTCCAAATCCCATGAGGGGTAAAAACTGCCAACGCTTGGGCCATACAGCAAAAAGATGCACCAGTGCGCCATCTTGTGCTCACTGTGGTCTTTCTTTACATGCCGAAAGATGTACGCGTAGTTTCTGCTTAAATTGCAACGATCAACAATGCCCACGTTTTATACAAATGCGTGAAATTCTAAAAATCAAAACAGAAAATTGCTGTAGCATGGGTGAAGCGCGACGCAAATACCGGCAAATTAATCCATCTGGAAGTCAAAGAATTAGCAAAAGCAATACCTACGCTGTTGTCGCCTCGCGAATAGTGCCTAATAAGCATTTAACTCCAACTCCTTCCAAAGAAAAACCTGTTCTACCATCAACCAAAAATTACATTGCTAAACAAGTTCCATTACCCGACAAAGATAACATTGAAAAATCAAAACAACAGCAAATATTAAAAAATTAAAACAAAAACACATATGCCAAAATCTAATAATCTAAATCCCCCAGAATCACCAGTTCTCAACTCTACTCAACAAATTACAAGCTGTAATGAATCCAATCTTTCATCCCTCAATCAACCTTCAATTTCAAATTATTCACGTGTGCCCACTTGTGGCGGTTCAAATATACGCAGACACCTAAGTACAGATTATTCTGCTGGTAAGAACAAATTATTCACGCAAAATTCTTATAGTGACATTTTCTTCGGAGACGCTGACATGTCAACTTAACCTGCTTTCC